AAGATGAGTGGCGGGTTCATGATTATTTTCTTAAAAATAAAGATGGCCATGCACGCAGACAGCAATGGTGAGAATGTCATGAACCAACGGACTAATGGGATTCTCTAGGCAGAGAGCCAGTGACAAAAAACAAAGGCCTTCAGGTGTCTGATTCCAGGCATGCTTGGCTTTGTATTGGTAATGAGCTTTGGTAGAAGACAAGGATTTGTGTTGCTGTCAATAATTTGTAGTTCATGTGAGGGAGATGAGAGAATGGAAGAGGGACAGTTAGATAAGGAAAAACTAAAATACAAGGCAGCAATTGAAAGTGATAGGCTGGCAGCTAGATAGGTCTGAGTGATCTGGCATCTTCACAGCCAGGCAGGTTAACTTTGTCAATCAGATGTCCACCTTCCCAGATGTCCCTGTGTCTTATCCCAGACCAAGAATGGGAGCTGTCATGAGGATACATGGAGATTAAGCTCTATGTGAAGTTTATGAAGATGTCCAATGGGGAGAGTGCTGACCACAGTTGGGGGTACTACTCAGGTTTCCTTTCTCTCCCCCAGCCTTGTGCATTCCTCTGGCACACGCAGGACAGGTGTTTCTCTGTGTGGGGTGGCCCAGAGCAGGCGTAACTATGCTCTCTCTATTAAATAAATCTGGTATCACTTGAGACCCTATCGGTGTCTCCACTTAGAATTTTTCTGTGAGGCAAGAACCTGGATTGGAAATGAATACAATATCCTCATGCTCACAGCAAAACCAACTATGGTGCTCAGTGCTTAGCACCAAGGACATACACTCTTGAAATCCCAGTCAATGTAGGCATTGGAGGGTTTCAACAAGCGGAGATGGGTGGGTAGAGATGGAGAATGTGTGAACAAATGAAAGGTTCAAAGGCTGAATCCCAGGGCAGCAGGTAGACTGGCAGGAGGAGGGGGAGTAAGGCAGGAAAGCCAGCTCAGGGGGCTTGGACCATTCCCAGTGGAGGCGATGAGGCACCCACACCATCTTGAACAAGAAGCTGCCCCTGAGTGTTTGGCTAGCACACTCCCGGGAGCAGAACTGCAGACGGATTGGGGGCATGCGAAAATGAAGCCCGGTTGGCGAGCTGGGAGGAGTTGCTAAGTCCTGAAGAACAGGAGGCAGGAAAGGCAGCTTGATGGAGCAGAGGACGTTTCATGACAGGAGAGGAAATACATCCTGGGAGTGGCAGTGGTGTGGGCCAGCAAAAGCAGCTGGGAAAGAGGGGACAGGCTCCCAAGGGGTTACAAGAGAATGGGAAAAATGGAGGCTGAAGATGCAGGAGGAACTTAAGATAAATGCACGGTCCTTCAAAGCAGGCAGGGGTAGGGCACTGGGCCAAAAGTTCTTGCTCTCCAAGACTTCAGGACTCTTACCCCATGAGAATGATTATTGGAGGCTGATGATGACGACGTCACTCTGAACTTGCATCTGGGTGACTGGACCACCATGGCAGCCAGTGCTCCATGGTGCTAACCATTCTTCCCCTCAAGAGCCCAGAAATCTTGGTTTGTGGAATAAACATCCACATGATAGAACAAAATGAAGTGACTACCATATGGGAAAAAACAATTTCCTTGCAGCTAGACATCCTAGCCAAAAACACGTCTGTAACTGGAGGTCCTCACCGCTCCACCATTCCGCTCCTGCTCACTTTCACTCTTAGGAGACGGTTTCTTACCTCGGAGGATGCACACAGGTGTCCCTAAGCCTCAGCTGACTCCAAGAACCTGAGCAAGGCCAGGTTTTAGGGTGGTCTGAGCAATGCCACTGCAGCTCTGTGCTCCCAAACTGTCAGAGTGAAGGGAAGTTCCAGAAGAAAAGACAACCATCAACAGACCAGAAATCAAGGGAATTCCTGCTAGTTAGAAAGCAGCTGTCACCACCATCCGTGAACTTATGCAATTAATCAAGGAAGCAACAATTAAGCATAATTGTTGAACGAGACACATTAATTGGAGCTAATGAGAGTTCAAGATAGCCAGATTTAGAATCTACATTAAAATTTTTTATGGCAGCCATAACCAAATTATAAATGTAATAGGGAAAAATTGATTCTGGGACTCAGGACTGAATTGATTTTCACTTGCAAAAAAAATTGGTTGAGCAGAAAAGGAAACTTGTATTCCAAGTAGCTTTGGGTACAACCACATTGTGAGATTTAGGCAATGGCACCCAAACTCCACATTCTACACTCCATTCTGCCTGTGAATCTCTGTGCACCTGTCTTCCAGTCAACCTCTGTCCATGCAGAAGAGACTCCAGCCAAGAGGGTCTCATCCAAGAGTGTCCACAGAAACCCTGGCATTGAGTCCTGGTAGCTCTGTTAGCAATGGGCTCTATTAGGCCAAGTTTGAGTCACATGCCCCCTCTCGGGGTAAAGTGGAGTTGACCCTACCAGGGTCATGGGGTCTAAGAACAGAGGAGGAATGAACTCCATGAGAAACCTAAGGGGTCACCACAAGAAGGAATGGCTTCTGGGAAGGCTCACAACATCCTGTACATATTCTATGCCCTATAGCCACAGAAGCCGAAGCTGGAACACATCAGGCAAGAACATGGAACTTACAGGAAGAAAGCTGTCAGAGACCTGAATAAATGGATAAGTCCATATTCTTTTTTATAAAATATGCATTTTAAAAAAAAATTTATTTATCCAAAAAGCAGAGTTACAGAGAGAGCGAGAACACGTTTCCATCTTCTGGTTCACTCCCCAAATGGCTAACAGCCAGGGCTGGGCCAGGCCAAAGCTAGGAGCCAGGAGCTTCATCTAGGTTTCCCATGTAGGTGCAGGGGTTTAAGGATTTGGGCCTCCTGTGCCACTTTCCAGGCGAATTAGCAGGGAGCTGGCCTGGAAGCGGAGCAGCCAGGACTCAAACTGGTGCCCACACAGGATGCTAGCATTGCAGTTCATGTTACGCCACAATGATGGCTCCAGTCCATGTTCTTAGAAGACATAATACTGTAAAGCTACTATGTATATCTAGGTTGATCCAATCCCATTCTGATCAAAATCCAAAAGTCAATGTCTAAATGCATTCTTTTTTAGGATCAACTTGTAAAAATAAGCAAATTGTTTATTTATTTATTTGAAAGACAGAGTGAGAGGGGTCTTCCATCTGATGGTTAAGTCCCCATATGGCCACAATGGCTGGAGCTGAGCCAGTCCGGAGCTGGGACCTTCTTCCAGGTCTCCTACATGGGGGCAGGGTTGCAAGGACTTGGGCCATCCTCTGCTGCTTTCCCAGGCACGTTAGTAGGGAGCCGCATCAGAAAAGGAGCTGCCAGGACTGGAACCGGCCCCACTATGGGATGCTGGTGCTATAGATGGTGGCTTTACCACTACACCACAGTGCTGGCCCCCCAAGTATTTTTTTTTTTAAAGAGAACAATGGCAGGAGTTAGATTTATTCCATCAGAGATTTCAACATACTGTGAACACAGTCATTGAGATACTCAGTATAGTCAATAGAATAAAGTACAGGGTATGTTCTCATCAGTAGGGGGAGAAAGGACAATGCTGTAATGTCTGCTCTAGCTCCATGAAAGGGTGAGTCCTATTTCATACTACACTAAAAACACAGAATGTTACAGTCTTGGGACAAAGACGGTCTTCCTAAAGATGGCCCAAATCTATAAAGGCAAACGTTTAGGAAGACTGCACATAAGCAAGAGGGTGAAGACGAAACATTTGCACCCCCTGGTCCTGGTCTAAATGTCAACTGGTGGACTCTGTTTGAAATGTAATTTGGTAGTAGCCCAGCTTTATATCTAAACTGTGACTCAGCTTCTCATTCTAGAGCTTTCCTGACAGCTAAATCACGCATGTGTGCCAGAGGAGGCACAGAAAATGTCCATGCAACGTTGTTTCTAATAGCCTGAAACAAGGGAAAACACCCTAAAATGTAGAGTGCTGGAGCATATCCTACAACAGAGGACATGCTGGCAAACACCAGCAGAGTGAGGCAGAGCTTCACGTTCTGAAGACAACTCACTCAGACGGCAAGAGCCCAGCACTGGTTTCGTTCTGTAAAATCCAGGTGCAGTCACGGCCACGAAGCCCTGGAGGGCACCGCGCTGTTCACCTTGCAGGTGAAGGGCTGACTGCAGAATGGAAGGAGGAAGACAAGAAGGAACTCTAAGTACCATCAGAAAAAGGGGTGCAGAACAGAGACAGGAGAGGACTTGCAGCCAAAACGAATTTATCCAAGCAAAAATAAATTCGCAGAGGTGGCCAACTGCCGGCGTGCACACAAACCAGAAATGTGGCAGAGGGCCCAGTCCTCCAGTGGGCTGGGCTTTATAGATCTTTGGATGGGCTAAGGGTCTGGAGGTAGGAGACAGCAGTTTGGGGAGAGTTTCTTTATACAGGTTATTTGCAGGCTTACAAACCTGGAAAAGAACGCAGAAGGTGGTGGTGGTGGGGGGAGTACAGTGTGGGACTGACCAGGTCTCTTGACAGAATGCAAGGGTAAAGGGAATTTAATTTCCTTTCCAGGCAAGGAACTAAAGGTGGCTGAGGCTTACATCCTGTTTCATCAAACACACCTCAGCAATGTTTAAAATAAATCATGATTCTTTATTTAATGATACAATAAAAAGGGGCTGGTGCTGTGGCATAGTGGGTAAAGCTGCTGCCTGTGGCACTGGCATCCCATATGGGCGCCTGTTCAAGTCCCGGCTGCTCCACTTCTGATCCAGCTCTCTGTTAATGCACCCAGGAAAGCAGCAGCAGATGGCTCAATTGCCCTGCACCCATGTGGGAGACCTGGAAGAAACTCCTGGCTTTGGACTGGCCCAGGTCTGGCTGTTGAAGCCATTTGAAGAGGGAACCAGCAGGTGGGAGATCTCTCTCTGTACCTCTCCCTCTCTCTCTGTAACTCTGCTTTACAAAAAATAAATAAATCTTTTTAAAAAAGAGATACAATAAAAAGGAAACTGTCATCAATTTGCTATTCTTAAGAACAATAAAGGCAGATTGAATCAGAGGAAAACCATTTTTAAAAAAGATATAAATTTATTAAAAATTTATTAGGGTCATAAAAGTTAATATATTAATTATATAAAACCTATTTCAAGTCCCAGGAATTTGATTTCAAAGAATTCCTTATAAAAGGTTTTACGTTATAGTCCTTGTTAATTGGGACCCAGACTGCCTTGGGAGATCATCTTGACCCTGAACCATGGTCCTGCAAAGTCAGTCAGCAGCAGCACATAAAATCACAGAGAAATGCCACAGGCTTGAGCTCCCTCTTATCCAACACACAGCAATAGCACCCTCTCTTCTACTGGATGGAATGCAGTCTGTTCTGAAATTCTCTGGAGCAGTGAGCCTCTGGAATCCCCATTTCCTTCACTCTAAGAACCATTTGTGTCCTTGTCCTAAGACCTCCGAGTTCTTGCCATGGGTTAAGCCACAGACTACACCGTGGCCCCAGGGCTCCTTGTATTCGTGGAATCCACCATGTCTCAGGAAGGTGCTCGCCTCGTTCTCACATCTTCAGCCATCACTCAGTTGGCCACAGTTGGGCAAGTAGAAAAGTTTACAACTCACGATACACGCGCGTCCAGGCGAAGAGTAAGGCTGTAGCTACAAAGCAGGACAGAAAAGTGCGGAGCAGCAGTCTTCTCCAGAAGGTCAGCGGTAAGGGAGTCCGGTAGAAGACACAAAAGCCATCCTACGAGGGGTGGGGAGACGAGAATTAGATGGCTCCCAGGCAGGAGAGTCCAGACGGAACAACAAAAGAGCTCTTGGGTTTAAAAAGTAAAGAAGGGGCAGGCATTCGGCACAACGTAAGGGGCCACTTGTGCTACCTGCACCCGTGTCAGGTTGGAGTGCCAGCTCCTTGGCTGCCGATTCCAGCTTCCTGCTAATGCACACCTTGGCAGACAGCAGGTGACAGCTCAAGGGCTTGGTCCCCACCACTCCTGTGGGAGACCTCCATTGAATTCTGCGTTTCCTGGCTTAGGTCTGGCCAAACCCTGGCTATTGCAGAGATCTGGGGCATCAACCCGCAGAAGAACTGTCTTTCAAATAATATGAAAATTAAAAATTTAAAACATAAAAAGATTCTGACCAACAAGCAACCTGTAATTAAGAACCTTTGGTGGATTAGGATTTTTACAAAGTAGTCCAACACTGTGGATCGACGCCACCATTTAATTGTGTCACTTAGAGCGGGAACATTCATGTGGACTCCCAACCAAGAGGGACACTGTGTTCTGAGCAAAGGACAGATGCGCTTTGGGAAGCTAACAGATCACTGTATTAAGTTACCACTTGAGGCAACTAAGCAGGCCATTCTGTTTAGGAAGGGACTTGAACTCCATGATGGTGGAGAGAGGCTAGGGAGAATTCTGTTTCCCCAATCTGAGATTCCTGCTTCTTGATTGGAGAGATTATTCCTGAGACAATGTTGATTATCCTCCCCAAATGAAACCGAACCATGTCCACCTCCCAGAGCACCCTTTAGGTGCAGAGAGCCGGGGTGGGGGTGGGGGTGGGGGTGTTGGGGATGCCTTGTTAAGACCAGAGGCTCAGGGGGGCTTCTTAGAAACTCAGCTGAAGGGCGTTCACAGACCCAGATGGCTGTGGGCCAGCCCAGACATCACGAACCGGCTGACACTTTATACTGCCCTGCCCTCCTCCAATGGTCCCCAGCTCAGCACCTAAAGGAGGCCTGAGTTACATTTTGGATGGTTTTTGAAGCCAATGCTTTTAACAGTGTGGCTACGTGTACCCTGTAACTCAGGTCACTTCAGCCATGCAACATGGAAGAAACAGGGGTTCTAGCTCGGCGGAATCCAAGAGGTCTGGTGTGGATCAAAGGCGTGGCTTTCCTCGATCATTACCGCCCGAAGGACCTGCCCTTCTAGCTCAGCCCTCAGACGAAGGACTTCAGCTGAAGGTAGTAGCTGGGAAACATGCCCCAACGGGGGGAGCCGGTGGCCGGTCTGTTAGTAGTGACGGCAGCCCCAGTCAGCGCCCCCTCTTGGTGACCGCGCGCACTTCCTAATCCCTTGGCCTTTCTCTCTGAGTGCTGTGGGGCTGGGCAAGGGGCTGCTTTTCTATTTCCAAGGCTTTTGGTCACCCGCAGCTTTGCGCTCAATCGGTCCGCGCGGCTGGTTCTGATGGGGGTGCCTAAGAGAGCCAGCCAGCAAGGCTGACGGCTGCCTGTATGGCTGCCCAGAGAGGAGGCACCCTGGCCTCCACACCGAACGTTCCAGCCCCTCTGAAACCAGCCTTTCTGCTTTCAAGAGATCTTGTTCGGGGGCTGGAGAGACTGGCCCCGCCGGGTTCCACCCAGTGCTGGCCTCGCGGGCGCATCCCCGGCTGCCCCACACCCCGCGTCCCCGCGCGCGCGCGTCGTGCTTACCCAGCCGCCTTGAGCCTGCAGCCAGGCGCGGTGCTGCCCTGCGAGGCGAGCGCACAGCAAGGCCACCAAGCGCTGGCAGTCCCGGGCGATTTCATTCCTCCTCACCCGCTGGGTGGTCACCGGCGGCCCTCTGTCCAGAAGCGTCCCGGCGAAGGTCACGAGCGTCACCACGCGGCCCCAGCTGAGGTCGTGGCCGTCGGAGAGCACGGCCTCCGCCACGCGCGCCGCCAGCTCGATGCGGTTGCCGGGGTAGCCGCGGTAGACGGAGAAGAAGGGCCAGTGGACCCGCTGAAGCTGCGTGGCCGCACAGCGCAGCACAGCCGCCTCGGGCGTGGACGGCTGCGGCTCAGGGGTGCCGGGCTCGCGGGCGCAGCACTCCAGGTAGTCGGTGAGCAGGCGCGCAGTGCGCTCCTCCAAAGCGTCTGCCATGGCCAGCCTCCGCTGGGGCCTCCACTTCCCGCCCAGCCCTTGTTTTTCAAGGTCGGGAGAGGAGGCTTTGATGGGACTCCCAGCTGCACCTGTTATAGTCCGGAGGGCGAGGCCCAGCCTTTCGCGTGTTCACCTGTGTCGTGTAGCAATCAGGCGCAGTGTGAGACTTGGGCTTATTATTCAGCTCTGGGCCTGGGGCCTTAGACTCTAAGGGACAATCAAGTTGAGCCCGGCTTTAGACTGCTTTTGTAAAATAATTTTTAAAAAGTTTACTTAAAAGGCAGAAAGACCTTGCACCTGCTGGTTCACTTCCCAGTTGCCCACAATGCAGGCAGAAGTCAGCAGCCAGGAACTTAATCCGTGTCTCCCACATGAGTGTCAGGGAGCAAAACACATAAGCCATCACCTGTTACCTCTCAGGGCATGAATCAGCAGGAAGCTGGAAGCGGAAGTGGAGCCGGAACTGGAACCCAGGCACTCCAGTACCAGTGTGGGTGTCCCAAGCTGCATCTTAACCCCTGCACCGAATACCTCCCCTCCCCCCACCGCTCCTCTTAAGGCGAAGTTGACAAGGGTTCCTCACAGCCCTGCCTTGAGGCCCTGGCCACAGTTATTCGTCATCTCTAGATGACGTCCCAACAGAAGCATCCAGGTGTGTTGGAGATGCGTTGATCTGGATGTGGTACAAGCGGCAGCAGACAGGGGAGTTCTCCGGGTGCTGTGTTCCTTCATTCACTCACATTTAGTCGGAGTCTTCGGGGTGCTAGGCCTCCTTTGTTAGCACTGGAGACAGAAGGGAGAACAGGCTGTGTTCTCAAGGGCCTTACAGTCAAGTGGTGGGTGGAGACAAAGGGATGTGCCATCACAGTAGAGTTTCATTCTCACCATAATAGAAGAGGAAGGGCAATCCAGTTCTAGGGCAGTGGCTCCTCCTTATACTACCGTTCCTGCATATCTTAGAGTTCTCTTCACACTTTGCTGTTCAGCCCCTCATTACAATCCCCTGCTATAGTAAACACTTTCTTTAAAGAAAAGATTTATTTATTTAAATAAAAAAGAGAGAGACATATCTTCCATCATCTGGTTCTCCCCTCAGATGGCTGTAATGGCCAGGGCTGGGCTAGGGCAAAGCCAGGAGCTTCATCTGGGCCTCCCACGTGGGTGCAGGGGCCCAAGGACTTGGGTCATCTTCCACCGCTTTCCCAAAGCTATTAGCAGGGAGCTGGATTGGAAGTGGAGCAGCCAGGACTTGAACTGGCGCCTATATGGGATGCCGGTGTCACAGGTGGTGTCTTTACCTGCTACACCACAGTGCCAGCCCTGTAAACACTTCTTATGTTAAACTTCCTCTGTTCATATGACTCCATGGCTTCTTTCTCGTGCGTGGACCCAGACTGATACAGAATTGGTACTGTGACATTGCCGGGTGTTCAGGGGCCTGGAGTACGTTGAGATATCCCTCTTAGCCTGAGCAACTACACGAAGAGAGGCTCAGCACATGGAAGGTGTCTCAGTTTGCTCTGCCTGCAGCAGCTGATGCCGAAAGCTGCTCTACCCTTGGGTCGTAGGATCCCATGGCTCCAATGGCACATGAAGTGTCAGGTACTGCTACAGGAAGCAGGCTGGCAAGCACTCATAGGAAGAATGATGTCGCATTCTGAAGCTAGTCAAAGCCTGCTCTGAACATAACCGTTCTCTGAGAGGCAGGCTCTGGCTTGCTCCTGGGTCATGGTGGGAGCTGATGGCCTGACCACGGGCTATCAGGCGACCACACAGCTTGAGTGTCTGCCACGAACTAGAGGCTGTCTGACCCACCTTGCCATAGAGTTGGAATGTGCACAGCACCAATCCTTCATCGAATGGGAATGGTGTATTAGAGCTGGAACGCAGGAAGCCCGGGAAGTGCAAGCGAATCATACGAGCAGGAGTCTCAGATCCTTCCACACCATTTCTGTGGCTTTGCCTCCCGTGCCCATGCCTATGGTCTCAGGATGTTGCTTATGACACTTGGCTGAGACAGAAAAACTCAAGCCTGCGTTACAAGTGGGTCTGTATGATGTGGGCATCGTACAGATGCCCACCACTCCTTCTTGTGGGCAGAAAGTCAAGCCATATTTTCGCTTGTCCACTGTGCATGGAGAGAGGGCGAGAGTACAGCTTTACATGGATCCATGGGCAGCTATTGGAAGGTCAGGGCCTTGAACAGAACAGGTTTGAAAGCTTGGGGACCAGGAAATCTTGTTTGTGGCTGGGCCCCTCTCATGGGCATAAACTGTGAAGATATTCATGTCCCATGGGATTCCCACCAAAGGGGGCATTCTCTGCTGCAGAGGAAGCAGTCCGGTGGACAGAACTGTGTGCCGCATGGGTGTCGGGCAGGCTCTCTACTCAGTGGTGCAACGCTTGCTCAACAGCCCTGAACAGAGATCACAGCAGCAGGGATGCAGGGGGTATAAGGGCTCATCAGCATGGAACTCTCTCCTTGAAGGCTTAGCCAGCTGCTACAGCTGTGTGCCCAACCCAGTAATAAAAATGCTTCCTGATAGAATCAGACAAATTTTGTTTCAAGAGAATAAAACCTTCCATTTGAACTGGTTTGAACATCTTATTTGTTCCAATCTGAATTAGCGAGTTAAATAAACATTTGGATGTAGGGTCACATCTTATTTGCAAGAGGTCCATGAGTTTGTCTTTGGAACATACTCGAGCAGCAGGCTCTCAGTTTTTTCTTAGATGTGCTGTTGTTGGTTGCGGGTGAGTGGTAAGTAAATTCTCTGGCCTTGCCATCGTTAACTCTCAATGAAATTAGTAGAACTAAGTAACAAATGAATAATTAACGTTTATACAGAATTTACTATCCACAAAATGTAAGGAGGCGGCTTGTAACCAGACTTGGTTAAAATCCTGGCTCTCTGGGTTATGGTGCAGTGGTTTAAGTAGCTGCCTGTGACATCAGCATCCTGTATGAGTGCCAGTTCGAATCCTGGCTGCTTGGTTCCCAATCCAGCTCCCTGCTAATGCGCCTGGGAAAGCATCAGAAGGCTGCCCAAGTGCTTGGGCCCCTGCACCCATGTGGGAGACCCAGAAGAAGCTCCTGGCTCTTGGCTTTGGCCTGGCCCCGCCCTAGTTTGGGAAGTGAACCAACAGATAGAAGATCTTTTTCTCCCTCTCTCTGTAACTCTGCCTTTCAAATAAATAAATAGATCTTTAAAAAAACAATCCGGTACCTTCACTTTTGAAGTTGTGGAACCGTAGGTCAGTTCTTCAACTCTCCTAACCTCAATTCCCCCACCTAAAAAGTGGAGTCAGTGTCCGTGTCACAGGGCTGTGACAAGGGTTACGTGACAAGGACGTATGCAAAGGGAGGAGTCTGAAAAGTGGCCCAGCGATGGATGAGGCGGGGGGCTTAGCATCATCCTCACAAAGGAAGCCCTGGCCCACTTCCGTCCCACTCGGTCCAGCTCCCCAGGGGAGGGGCCGGAAGGAGCTGTGTTGAACCTGCTGTTGACCTGGATGATTTTTCTTGGCAGGTTAGTTTGGAATATGAGGATCTACCCATCCCTACTCAATGAGCGCCCCCAGGTTGGGAGAAGCAATGCAGGCCCCTTCCCCCTTCACCTTCTATCCCATCAGCCGTGCTTGCAGGCTTTCCTTGAAAGGATGTCGGGCTGGAGTTGGACTCCAGACCTTCAAAACGCTGGTGCCCAAAGCCTCCTGGGGGTGCCTTGCCTGAGGCCAGTTCTGAATTGTCCCGGTCTCCCTCCCCCTCTTCCTTCTTTCCTGAGCTCTGTAATGGCCTCAGGGAGGTCTCACACAGAGGTGCTTCAAAGGGGCTGTCCTTACACTATGACTGGTGCACAGCCCTGGGGGTCCTACTGAAAGGATTTTCATAACTGACCAGGACAGGCTGTCACTCTGCGGGCTTCTGCAGTCCTGCCCTTTATGGTGTTTCTCCTCTGTAATTTCTCATACGATGCACACGGATAATCCCCACTAAGAAAAGCTATTTGGGGGTCCTTGGTTTTTAACAGTGCAGAGGGATTCCAAGACCAAAAAGCTTGAGAATCACTGACCCAGATAAATTGATGATTACTAATTTGATGCACAAGTGGGGAGTGGGGGGGAGGATTAGGGGAAAGAGAGATGGTGGGGGAAGAATGGGAAGGAGGAATGGGAGGAGAGGGCAGGAAGGGGGAGAAGAAAGGAGACAAGGAGAGATGTAGAGAGAGGAGGAAGAAGGAGCAGGCTCAGAAGGGGGCTAGGAAAGAGGAGGAGAAAAGAGGGGAGAGAGATACAAGGGGCAGGAGTGAGAAGGGACAGGGAACAGCAAAGGGACTGGGAAATGTTGGGAGGGGGAATCAGGGGACTGACCCTTGGTCAAGATGTATTTGAACATACTTGAATGCTGTCCCATTTCACAGATGGGGTAACTGAGGCTGGGAGAACTTACATGTGACCAAGTATGCCGTAGAGGTGCTGCAGTGTACAGATGGGTCCCAGTGCCAATGGGGCCACCTGCTAGCCAGGGACATGGAGGCCTCCACAGCCTCGTGTTCCATTAGAGCCCGATAACCTCAGAGAGGCTGAGGGGCAGGGGGTGATGTACAGAGCCTGCTCCCGGCTCGTCTGGAGCAGGTGCCGCTGCTGTGGCCCCCACTTCAGAGGAGCTGATGCTTGGCTTCCGCTTCACAATCTTGTTACCATGCACTGCCTTCCCCCACCCTTCCTTCTGCCTAAACCTTCTCTCCTCGGGCTGGGGAGGATCCCTGGCGCCCATCCTTTTAGCCCCTTCACCACTACTGGTTTGCTAGGTCTGCCCCGAGCCTTCTAATAAAGAATGAAAAACTGTTGGAAAAGCTAGTCAGCATCATTTGCAACATGCAAAATACAAGTGATGGCAGCGTGTTTCCCTTGAGACTCCCCATGCATAGGTCAACCCAAATCCAGGCTTCCACCCGTGGGTGCTGAACGCCTCGCGCTGCAAGAGGACGCATCCAGGGGGGGTGCCCTTGTGTCACTCGTGGGCTGGACATTCACGGGCGATCCAGCACGAGCATTGCAGATGCTCTGTGTCCTCAGACACAGAGCCTTGGCTGGGCCTCCCCTGACGCAGGCGGCCTTGCCTTTGGGAAGCCAGGGCCCAGGGTGGAGTGCAGAGACAGAAAGGGGGCTGTGGGAGAGAGGGGAGGCACGCGTGCTGAGGTCGTCCCCAAGCAGACGGGACACGCGCTGGGGCCCAAGCTGGCGGCAGCTGCAGGAGCGGGCAGACACAGTGCCCAGATGGAATCCCCAGGGGTGGGGTGGGGCTGACGAAGGGTTGCTCTGGACCACGCTCCTGCCTGCCTCCCAGGAGCCTTTGCCCCAGGCCCTGAGCAAAACCCTCAGGACATGTCTGGCAAATGACTGAAAAGAATTCCCACGGCTGTTTAAAGTAAGTAGATGGCATTGCTGGCCTGCCCCTTAGAGTCCTGGAGCAAGCGGGCCAGAGGGTGGCCAGGCCCAGCCCGCGACGCTCATAGGAGCGCAGGTCCAGGCCTGTCTGAGGCTGTGCCGGTTCTGACCCTGGAGGGGCTGCTGAGGACCAGGGCCTGGGGCTGGGCCTGCAAAGCCACAACTGCTACAAGGAGTCGGGCAGGACTAGAGCGGGGCCGAGAGAGACCAGACCATCCGCGGGACACACACACACACAGCCCATGGCAAGGGCCCGGCCGCCCTGGGCAAGCTTCACCTGGGAATGACGTCTGCTGTTCGAGGTGATTGTTTAGACCCCTAAGAAATGCATGCCATCTTTTTGAATGAGTTTTCTAAAAGAAAACAAGAAGGAAGCCAGTAACAAGAAGCACTTGGTCTCTTCCAGAAAAACTTGCTCAATTTAAAATAAAATCTTTGTCTTGGCCGGCGCCGCGGCTCACTAGGCTAATCCTCCGCCTAGCGGCGCCGGCACACCTGGTTCTAGTCCCGGTTGGGGCTCCAGATTCTTTCCTGGTTGCCCCTCTTCCAGGCCAGCTCTCTGCTGTGGCCCGGGAGTGCAGTGGAGGATGGCCCAAGTGCTTGGGCCCTGCACCCCGTGGGAGACCAGGAGAAGCACCTGGCTCCTGCCTTCGGATTAGCGCGGTGCGCCGGCCATGGCGGCCATTGGAAGGTGAACCAACGGCAAAAGACCTTTCTCTCTGTCTCTCTCTCTCACTATCCACTCTGCCTGTCAAAAAAAAAAAAAAAAAAAAAAATCTTTGTCTCAATAATAGGAGCAACAAGGATTATTATTATTATTCCAGACCTACCCATCAATCTGTGTATATAATTACAATGGCAGTGCAGCATGTACGAATATAATTTATATGGATCAGATGCACTTGATCCGGAGTGTTTCTACTCAGAGATTTGTAAATGCATTTGCATTTCGTGTTCCCACACAGAAAGGAGCTGCTCGCTCGCAGGAGTGCTTGTGTCACAAACATGCCCTCAAATGAAGTGCATGCCACGTCCCAGGGACACAGGGACAGGGCACACTGGCATACGTTTCATGGATCAAACACCCGTACACATTTTTTTTTTTCGCATATCTCTGCTGCATTTATAAATTCATGGGGCCAAAGATGTTCTATCTGAAAAAAAAGACGACAGGAGTCCGAAAAAGATATTTCACGACAAAAAAACCACGTTTTTTAAAAAGCGACTTCTGTCTAAATACATTCAGATGGAAATTTTTCTTCTACTGCAGACAAGTTAACACAGCCCGGCTTACACAGTTCGTAAAATCAGCACTTTCAGAGGAAGGTGCCAAACATCATGGCGCTCGCTGAGAACCAGCAGCTCCTAAAGTGCTCTACAAAGGAATCTGATGGAAGGAAACACTGCAGACTATCCTAACTCCTGGATCCTACGGGCAGCTCACAAGTGGGCGCAGGATAATTCGGAATAGCCGTGAAAACAGACGAACGTCCCAAGGTGTTCGAACGTGAGAAATACCGTGCTGTCTGGGCTCGCACGGCCATGTTCCGGGGCGCGAGTTGGCAGAATAACATTGGGGATGCCAAGGGAGCCTGGGAGCTGCTCCCGTAAGCGAAATCGCAGCAGGCGCTCAGCTCCGTGGGCAGTGACGCGGACTGGCGAGGGAAGTGCTCATGTCTGTCCTCAGGTACATATGTGCGCGTCGAGGGAGGATGATTAAGCCCAGACCTGTGAACACACACACATACACACACATACACATATCGTTTTTAGTCTCTTGGGACTTAGCAGCTCATAAAACTTGAGTTTAAAGAGATTAAATGGGTCTGCTCATATACGCACGTGTGTGCACATGCACATATACACACTCCATTCAAAGGGCACTCACATGCCTTACAAGGAAAATGCTTGGGCCCTGGCACCTCCAAGGTGCTGCTGGGGCCTGACTCCCCCGCCCCCTTGGTTCCTGGTCTGCAGGCCGTCTGTGGTCTCCTTCCCAGGCAAGTCTCAGACTGAGGAGTGGAACCATCTGAACGCAGAGTTTGCTGTGTTCACTGAGCTAATTTAGGCCTCTCTTGCCCAGGGCAGGTGAACTCACAGGCAACTTTTGTGTTATTTTCAGGAACTTTGCAAAAATACTTTTTTCTCTTTGCCCTAATACTAGGCCACTCCACTCATCCCCTTGAGAAAAGACTCCCATGTCTCAGGACAACCTAGAGAGCACGCAGCTGCAGTTGGCAATGCCCCTCTCCTCCTGCTGTGACCAGCAGCCTTAAAACTGTCCTGTGACAAACGCGTGTAACCCTCCGGCACAAGACCTGCCCTCAGCCAGGCCCCTGGGCTCACACACACTTTGCTCTCCTCGTCTGAGACACCATGGAGCTTCTGCCGAGTTTCGGGTCTTCCACACGGAGGGAAGCATGGAACTTCAACAGGACACTTGGTGGTATTTTGGGAGGGGTGGGAGTCAACATGAGACAAGCTCATGGAGCTGTGTTTGAAATCTGATGGAAGCCAGAGGGCACTTTTCCTAGAAACACACACACATGCAAACACACGTCAGCGTATCACACACACACACACATCAGCATATCACACATATACACACTGACATAGCATCACACATACAAGGGCATTAGCATATCACACACACACATGATGGTGCATCATCACACATACACATCAACATATCACATACACACATCAGTGTTATACAACATTAGCATATTACACACTCATCAGCATTATTACACACACACATTGGTGTAGCATCACACATCAGCATATTACATACATACAATCAGTGTATCATCACATACACATGGCATACCACACATACACACATCGGTGTATCACTACACAAACACTGACGTAGCATCACACACACAGGGCATTGGCATATCACACACACGTCAGCATATCATCACATACATACACACATGACTGCCATATCATCACATACATACACGATTGGTGCATAATCACACATACATGTCAGCATATCACATACACACATCAGTGTTATCATCACACACACACGTCAGCATATCACATACACACATAGGCGTCATCAACACACACACATTGGTGTGTCATCACACGTCAGCATATTACACACACACACGATCAGTGTATCATCACATACACACACATATACACACAAGTGCCGTATCATCACACACACAGAGGATGGTGCATCATCACACATACATATCAGCATATCATATACACACATCAGCGTTATCACACACACACATTGGTGTATCATCACACGTCAGCATATTACACACACAGGATCAGTGTATCATCACATACACACACATCGGTGTACCATTGCACACACATTGATGTAGCATCACACACACAGGTGTTGGCATATCATCACACACGTCAGCATATCATCACACACACGCACACACACACACCAGCATAGCACCTCAGGGGCTTCATGGCCTTCTGGAATCTCTGTGGGCCTCACAGGAGTTGTGACGCAATCCTCATAACATAGACAGGAGAGAGGCGTAGCCTTGATTTGCCAAAGGCTTGAATCTCAAGGCTCAGACTTTCAGGGTCAAGGGGCCCCTCTTGGATCCCTGGGTCGCACAGCGCCCTCCTGGCTGTCTCCTGGGGGCCCAGCTGCCGGCTCTGACACAGCACTCACAGCCTTCCCGGGCAGCCCACTCCTGCGGTGAGCGCAAGGCTGGACCGACATCTCTGCGTGGCTCGCCAGCCCACCCCGGCTTCCTCTGAGCCCTCCCTCTCCTCACACAGAGTAGAACAGAAACACGGCTCTTACTCTCAGGGTGTGATCCCAGGATCCTGAGCAGAAAGCAGTGCCGTCCGGGGAAACCCGCAGAGTGCTGACGCGGTTCTCATGGCCAAAGAGGATGGAGACCCGGGCCCCCTTGAGGACATCCCAGACGTTGATGGTGTAGTCATTGTAGCCGGCAAACAGCAGGCGACCTTGCAAGCGATGGGAGGAGGGTTATGCAACTCCTTCCTTCTTTCCTCTTGTTCCTTTCATGATTCTCACCCACCCACCCACTCACTCACCCACTCACCCACCCACTCACTCACCCACTCACTCACTCACTCAGAAATCCCTGCATTCAGTAAGCAGCCACGGGGGCCCACCATGTGCCAGGCACAGTGTTGGCCCTGGGCATTCAAAGGGAGAAGGCCGCCTGTGCAAGATGAGGGGCAGATCACTGTGGCACCACTTGGGAAGAGCGCCACGGAAGTGCCGTGTGTGTGTGTGTGTGTGTGTGTGTGCACGCGTGCACAGTGTGAGGGGGCCGTGGAGGAAGGCACTGCCAGCGCAGACCCATCGCTGTCAGGTGTGCTGAAGTTGACGCCTCGTCCAACTACAGCTGAAAGGCAGAAAATTAAGCTCCAGCAGGCAGGAGCAGCATCCCGGTGGGGGCGTGTCCAGGAAATGGACCGGTCCAATGAGCGCCTGGCAGCTCTGCCTTGGCTCCACCCACTGTCGCCCCTGCTCTGCAGGGGCTGGGGCGAGGAGCTCTGAGAAAGGGACCCACACACTTCACCTCTGGGTTGTGAGTATGGAGAGGAGGGAGGGCTGACATCACGGACAGCATGAGGGGATGGGGCGGGGTGGCCGTGGGGGATGGGGTGGGGAAGCCATCGGCAGGGCCCAGGTCAGCGCGAGTTGCTGAGAGTGGGTGGGGTCCCACTCAGGGCCTGGCTCCTGTTCCCCTGTAAGTTTCTGAAAGAAAACCTTACCACTGAGGGAGAAGTCCACGCTGGAGGCTCCGAATATGATGCTCTCCTTGGAGTAGATGGCCACCTCCCTGTCCGCGCGGAGGTCGTAGAGCCGACACTGGGTGCAAACAGACACATGAGGCGGCCCTTAGTCCCAGCTCGCTGTGCCGCGGGCAGTGCCAGGAGCTCGAGGGGAAATAGCCTCCTCTCCCATTTCACCCCTCAGTCCTGGTTCCTGTTCGTCTCCACAGATCAGCTCAGCATTGAAGAACAAAGCCAAAAATGAAACCCCACTTTTTCTCTTTTCCAATAAAGGACATATGTTCATTGTAGAAAACTGAACAGTACCCAGAAACGCATAAAGAAATGAGTCACTTTCCATCCCAGAGGCACTTACTAATGTCTGGGCTGTTTCCTTCCATCTTATTACTGTTTGTCTATTTAAATGGAATGGGCAGGGGCTGGCCCTGTGGCGTAGCGGGTAAAGCTTCCGCCTGCAGTGCCGGCATCCCATATGGGCACCAGGTCAAGTCCTGGCTGCTCCACTTCTGACCCAGCTCTCTGCTGTGGCCTGGGAAAGCAGTAGAAGATGGCCCAAGTCCTTGGGCCCTTGCACCCGCGTGGGAGACCCAGAAGAAGCTCCTGGCTCCTGGCTTCGGATCGGCCCAGCTCTGGCTGTTGTGGTCATTTGGGGAGTGAACCAGTGGATGAAAGACCTTTCTCCCTTTCTCTCTCTCTCTGCCTCTCAAAACAATAAATAAATCTTTAAAAAAAAAAAAAAGGAACGGACACCTGTTATGAGCGTCTTCCCACATCATTAACCCTCAAAAGAGGTGACTTTTATGGTTGTTCAATATTCCTTTTGTGGCTATATCAAGATCTGTTTAGCTATATCCTGTTAACTGCTTTGGTTGTTTCTAATTTTTCTTTTAGAAATAATACTATGATGACTATTCATCATATTCAAATATGTACACACATGTCTATTTTTCCTTAGAGTAGCTGGAGCAGAATCCTTCGAATAGTTTCTAAGAAACGGCACGTGCAGGTACAAGGGCGGGGATGCTGGAGAGCTCTGCATTCAGTGGCAAACCTGACTCCAGGTCCAAGGTGAGGACCCTCACCGTCTCCACCCTGGGATGGAGACGAGACACAAAACGGGCATGTGATCACTTACAGCTACATGTCTTTGATCACAGGTGACTTGGAAAACATTTCCAGGTATTCATTCATAATTCTGAATTTGCTGCTTTGTAAACAATCTTCGTGTTATCTTCCTAAAAACTGCCATATTCAGGGCTGGCACTGTGGCTCAGTGGGTTAAAACCATGGCCTGCAGCACCAGCATCCCATGTGGGCACTGGTTCAAGTCCCAGTTGCTCTACTTGCAATCCAGCTCCCTGCTAATGTGCCTGGGAAAGCAGTGGAAGATGGCCCAAGTGCTTGGACCCCTGCATCCACATGGGAGACCTGGAAGAAACTCTTGGTTCATGGTATTGGCCTGGCATAGCCCTGGCTGTTGCAGCCATTTGGGGAGTGAACCAGAGGATTAAAGATTTCTCTCTCTCCCTCTAACTCTGCCTTTCAAACAAAATAAACAAAACTTAAAAAAAAAAAAAAAAAACTGGAACATTCATCTTATTGACTATGCAGCCCTACTAATATCTAAAGGATTTCTAGCTGGTCTAATATACACATGGCAAGAATTACCCAAATGTATGCCGTTTTGTTAAATGCTTTTTTGATATACAAAAGTTCAAAGCTTTCATTATTATCGAAGCTCTCAATCTATTACTTTGTAGTTTCTTCCATTGCAGCAAATCACATTAAAACTCATTACTAATAAGATATGTGGTATTTTTCTCTTGAAAAATCAGCATAACTTGGCAATTAATATCAAAAGGCTTAAAACTGGGTTTATTTTCGGCTCAGCAAGTTGCCTGAGAATTCTAAGGAAGTAATAAGAGAGGTGCAAAATCTTTACCTATAACAATGTTTTCAAGAGGAAGAGAAAAAATTCTTGAGCAAAGCTAAATGTCCCCACACTGAAGACTAGTTAAGCAACGATGGCATGTCCACACATGGAATTCTATTCAACCACTAAGAAAATATAATGGAGAAGAGTGTTTAGCAGCATGGGAAAATGTTCACAATCTTTGTTTTTAAGAGAAAAAGGCAAATTATAAAGCTAATTGTTTAAAACAAAAAGGACAGGAATTAATCCAATTGTGAGCTGTATTGGGTAGAAAGATTCAAGTAAACGTTTCCCCCAAATTTCTTCATTTAATATACATTACTTCTGTAACCAGAAAATAGATATTTTTCAAAATAAAATATACAAAGCCATCTTTCAAATAAAAGCTCTCAATAATTTCAAACTTTACCTTAGTGGTGGGTGTTTGACCTAGCAGTTAACGCGCCTGCATTCCACACTGAACATGGGCACCTGGAGTGCCTGGGTTTGAGTCTCAGCTCCACTTCCAATTCCAGCTTCCTGCTAATGAACACCCTAGGGGGCGGCAGGTGATGGCTCAAGTACTTGAGTCCCTACCAACGCCCCAGCTATTGTGGGCACTGGGGGAGTAAACCAGCAGATGGAAGCTCTGTTTCCTTCTATCTCCCAAATAAATAAATTAAAAAATAATTTTAAAAAGCAACTAACCGTAGCATCATCTGACCCTGAAGCAAAGGCGTCTCCACTTGGGTAGTACCTGCAAAGAGAAAGTATGGGCAGAAAATACTTTATCTAGAGTGGTCATTCTCAAGCCTGGACACCCATCAGGAACATCTGGGCCCATGCTGGGCCCTCAAAACCAGAATCTCCACTTCTACAAACACAAGGGGCATGTGCTACAGAGGACAGAGGGGCGGCTCACAAGGCAGGCCCGCTGGTCTCTAGTTCTGCCCCTGTACAAAGGGGACGGTGACACTAGCCTCGTGGAGTGTTAGTGAGAAGTAAATGGGGTGCTATGTGTTTAAAGGTTCTTTAAAAAGCTCACGGAAAGTGTCATTGAAAGGTAAGTTTATTCTTGCCTAATAGCTCTGGCTAGAACCTCCAGAACTATATTGAATAGCAGTGGTGAGAGTGGGCATCCCTGTCTGGTTCCAGATCTCAGTGGAAATGCTTCCAACTTTTCCCCATTCAATAGGATGTTGGCTGTGGGTTTTTCATAGATTGCTTTGATTGTATTGAGGAATGTTCCTTCCAAACCCAGTTTGCTTAGAGTTTTCATCATGAACGGGTGTTGTATTTTATCAAATGCTTTCTCGGCATCTATTGAGATAATCATATGGTTTTTCTTCTGCAATCTGTTAATGTGGTGTATCACATTGATTGTCTTGCGCACATTAAACCATCCCTGCATACCAGGGATAAATCCCACTTGGTCTGGGTGGATGATCTTTCTGATGTGTTGTTGCATTCTATTGGCGAGAATTTTATTGAGGATTTTTGCATCTATGTTCATCAGGGATATTGGTCTGTAATTCTCTTTCAGTGCTGCATCCTTTTCCGGCTTAGGAATTAAGGTGATGCTGGCTTCATAGAAAGAATTTGGGAGGACTCCCTTTTCTTCGATTGTTCTGAATAGTTTGAGAAGAATTGGAGTTAGTTCTTCTTTAAATGTCTGGTAGAATTCAGCAGTGAATCCATCTGGTCCTGGGCTTTTCTTTGTTGGGAGGGCCTTTATTACTGTTTCAATTTCTGTCTCAGTTATGGGTCTGTTTAGGTTTTCGATGTCTTCCTGGTTCAATTTAGGCAGGTTGCATGTGTCCAGGAATCTATCCATTTCTGATAGGTTTCCCTGTTTGCTGGCATACAAGTCCTTGTAGTAATTTCTGATGATTCTTTTTATTTCTGTGGTGTCTGTTGTTACATTTCCTTTTTCATCTCTGATTTTATTGATTTGGGTCTTTTCTCTTCTTTTTTTAGTTAGTTGGGCCAATGGGGTGTCAATTTTGTTTATTTTTTCAAAAAACCAGCTCTTCGTTTGGCTGATTTTTTGTAATGTTTTTCTTGATTCAATCCTGTTGATTTCTTCTCTGATTTTAATTATTTCTCTTCTCCTACTAGATTTGGGTCTGATTTGCTGTAGGTTTTCTAGATCCTTGAGGTGAATTGAAAGCTCATCTATTTGGTGTCTTTCCAATTTCTTGATGTAGGCACCTATTGATATAAACTTTCCTCTTAACACTGCTTTTGCTGTGTCCCATAAGTTTTGGTATGTTGTGCTGTTATCCTCATTTACTTCCAGAAAGTTTTTGATTTCTCTTTTGATTTCTTCTATGACCCATTGTTCATTCAGGAGCGTGTTGTTCAATCTCCATGTGTTTGCGTATGCTCTAGGGATTCCTGAGACCCCTACCTTACACCTTACACAAAAATCCACTCAACATGGATTAAAGACCTAAATCTACGACCTGACACCATCAAGTTACTAGAGAACATTGGAGAAACCCTTCAAGATATTGGCACAGGCAAAGAATTTCTGGAAAAGACCCGGGAGGCACAGGCAGTCAAAGCCAAAATCAACTATTGGGATTGCATCAAATTGAGAAGTTTCTGTACTGCAAAAGAAACAGTCAGGAGAGTGAAAAGACAACCGACAGAATGGGAAAAAATATTTGCAAACTATGCAACAGACAAAGGGTTAATAACCAGAATCTACAAAGAGATCAAGAAACTCCACAAAAACAAAACCAACAACCCACTTAAGAGATGGGCCAAGGACCTCAATAGACATTTTTCAAAAGAGGAAATCCAAATGGCCAACAGGCACATGAAAAAATGTTCAAGGTCATTAGCAATCAGGGAAATGCAAATCAAAACCACAATGAGGTTTCACCTCACCCCAGTTAGAATGGCTCACATGCAGAAATCTACCAACAACAGATGCTGGCGAGGATGTGGGGAAAAAGGGACACTAACCCACTGTTGGTGGGAATGCAAACTGGTCAAGCCACTATGGAAGTCAGTCTGGAGATTCCTCAGAAACCTGAAGATAACCCTACCGTTCGACCCAGCCATCCCACTCCTTGGAATTTACCCAAAGGAATTTAAATTGGCAAACAAAAAAGAGGTCTGCACCCTAATGTTTATTGCAGCTCAATTCACAATAGCTAAGACCTGGAACCAACCTAAATGCCCATCAATGGTAGACTGGATAAAGAAATTATGGGATATGTACTCTTTAGAATACTATACTGCAGTAAGAAACAATGAAATCCAGTCATTTGCAACAAAATGGAGGAATCTGGAACACATCATGCTGAGTGAAATAAGCCAGTCCCAAAGGGACAAATACCATATGTTCTCCCTGATCGGTGACGACTGACTGAACACCAAGAGGGAAACCTGTTGGAGTGAGGTGGACACTATGGGAAATGGTGGCTTGATCAGCATAGCCCTGGCTGTTAATGAACAACTAAATACATTATCCCTCTTAGTAGTTTTTTTATCTGTTCTACTTAATATGACTGGTTTAGATCTGTAATTGATGCACAGTTATTCTTAAGTGTTAAAAATTAACTGAAATGTGATCCCTGTTGAACATGGTGGTGGGAATGGGAGAGGGAAGAGATGTATAATTTGGGACATGCTCAGGCTGACTTGCCCCAAGTGGTGGAGTTGGAAGCATACCAGGGGATTCCAATTCAATCCCATCGAGGTGGCATGTACCAATGCCATCTCACTGTTCCAGGTGATCAGTTTCAGTTCACAGTTGGTCATGGTGAAGGGACTGGGAGTCAAAGGGAGCACATAAACAAGTCTAGTACCTGCTAACGCTAACTGATGGAGTAAATAAAGGGGAGAGTGATCCAACATGGGAAGTGAGATACTCAGCAGACTCATAGAATGGCAGATGTCCTAAATAGCACTCTGGCCTCAGAATCAGCCCTAAAGGCATTCGGAGCTGGCTGAAAAGCTCATGAGAGTATTTCAGGCATGGAAAGCCAAGACACTCTGGCAAAAGATCTCTGCGAGTGAGATCCCAGTGGAAAGAACAGGTCATCAAAGAAGGAGGTACCTTTCTCTGAAGGGAGGAGAGAACCTCCACTTTGACTATGACCTTGTCTAAACAAGATAAGAGTCGGAGAACTCAGAGGGCTTCCATAGCCTTGGAAACTCATGACTGGAGCATAGGGAGATTACTGATGCCATAGACAGGAGTGTCAATTGGTAAAGTCAACAACAGGAGTCACTGTGCACTTACTCCTCATGTAGGATCTCTATCCTTAATGTGCTGTACATTGAGATTTAATGCTATAACGAGTACTCAAACAATATATTTCACTTTGTGTTTCTATGGGGGTGCAAACTGTGAAATCCTTACTTAATGCATGCTAAACTGATCCTC